CACTTTGGTCATACGACGAGAGTGCTCACCAAAAATTCGTCATTCGAAAACTGCATTTTTGTCATACAGATTGTATGCGATGTGACGGAAGTGCCTTTTTCGTATGACCAAAGTGCCACTTTTATTGAGTTACTAAAAAACACACAGTAGCGTTGTAACGGCAAAACTAGCGTGTGATGAAAAAAATGAGTGTCGTTTAATGAAACACTAGACAAGAAATGTTTTTATAGGTAGCGAAGTACTTTCACATAACAAAGTACGTCCTTCGACTTGTGGATAATCAGCACCTTGGTTACAGCAAATTTCTGGAAAATTTCTTCAAAACTTTTCTGTACTTTAAGCATTTACTGAACTAACATCTGCTATAGTAGTAGTCAGCGATTCTGTGTTAGACGGCAAAATTTTTAATTCTTAAATTATGACTGTGTCCGGGCACAGCAGAGTTTTCCTGACGCAGTGGACCACGAACGGCATTGGAAATGTAGCGATTGATGATAAAATTTTAACAAATTTTATTTTTTCTACTTTTTGCAGCAAGAAAGTACTTTATCGGGAAGTACCTATCCGTGATGTGCTTCGTGAAAGGTGTTGACACTATAGAAAACGCTCGAAAATTTTTTAATAAATTCTCCTCAAGGAAGTACCTTTCCATGAAGTACTTTTTTGTGACGTACTTGTTCAGCTGTAAAGGTTCTCACTATGTCACTATGAAAGGCTTTAAAAGTTGGATTCTATCTATCATTAAACTACTTCGTGAGGAAATACTTTATTAAAGATGTTGATAACTTGCTTGTTAAATCGGTCTAAAAATTTTCTGGTGCAGTAAAACTTTTTAAATACGTAAAGTACTTCCGCTTAAAGTGCTTTTGAAAAAATACTTATTTACTGAGAAGAAAGGACACACGTCACTTAGTTTTAAAAAAAATTTGTTTTTACAAGTTTTACATGCAAGAAATATTGTCAAGAAGAACTTCGCAACCAGAATAACTTGGTAGGATCGTTTTTTGTCGCTCAATCTATTTCGACGTTCCGTCATTCTAATTTACTTGCTGAGTCAGCACTTCTACTAACTACGACGATCAAAAATAGGCATTCCCAGTGCACAACGTTATCATTGAAATGTATCAACGTATCAATATGTCATGTTTCAATTAATTAATTATATTAATATTAATTATTACACAGCAGATCGAAAAAAATGGCTAGTTATAAAATGAAAAAAAATGAGTAGAATGATAGAAAATAAGCGGAACGAAACGAAAACTAATTAAAAAATACGCGACGGAACCAGAGGATACCTCATCAACACGTCATACAAACAATTAGATCATTTTTATTTGATACATTTTTGGCCCATTTATCGTCATACAACCACTGCTTTATCGGTTTATCCTGGTGTCAAATGTTTTGTAGACGAATAAATTAATTTTTTGCTAAGATAACGTTGACGTACATTATTGTAGTTATGATATAACGGGAGAAAATTTTTGTAGATATTCGCAAATCGTTTATCGCGGTGATACCCGCAACAAAACATGTATTAAAAGTAAATGCCATCGAATTTTTATTACGCCTTTTTCTAATTTTTGGATTGTCTAGTTAGATGAAATATCAACTTTTTTCTTATTTTCGTGTTTTTCTGCTTGCCTACTATGCTCCTTTTCCCGAATGTTAGCGAGATTCTACGCTGGGTTTTAGAAAGACCAGCGCGTATATTTTCTGATTTCACTCTTAAGTTTTAGAGAATTTTTCTATTTTTTGTCATTTTCAATTTGCGGCAAATGTAAATTCTGCACCACGCCGCACTTTGTAAAGAACTAAACATTCTGACTGTAATTGTTCAAGAAACAAACGTCATCTGCTTCTTCTGTTTCTTGTTAACAATCGCGTTCTTAAACGAATTCTCTTTTCTGTTATTTGATTCACTTTTACACGTTCTGGTATTTACACTTTTCTCGTTCTTTCTATTAATTTTTTCTTTTTCTGTTTTGTATACAACCAAAAAGATAATATGAAGAATAGTATTCGTCACACATTCTATCTCAATAAGAAGACACATTAAAAAAAAGTCTGTTAATCTATATTCTCAATAGCTCTTTTACTTTATGTATATGAACAACAGCTTTTTTGCACGAAAACAGCATGATCTCAATAGTTATTGACCATATGTCTGCTATAATCGAACAAAAAGATGATGTCGGTGTAAAATCATTTGAAAAAATTTAGCTCTAAGAAAATACGTTAATTTTTTCTGCAGTTTTGTACTTCATAGAATTTCTCATCTCATTTTCCACCTTCGGATTTTGCAATAGAATATCTGCAGTAAACATTTCTACTCGATCAGACCTTTCTTTCGAGAGGTCGTAATGTGGTCGGAGGAAAAACCGCAAGATCTCCACAAAACCCATAGAAGATCATGTCACAAAATTCTGAGCAAAAATATATCGATTTTCTATTTCTTTGTTCTATCTCTGGTATAAATTTGAGCTCAACCGTATATTATTTTTCCAAATGTTGCATGTAACGTTTCAATTACCTGCCAATATTCAAGCTGAGCTGGCACTAAGCCGCTTTCTGTCTAAGCTAAGCGGTGATTTGATTTACACCATACACAAAGTAAACGGATATTTGCTCACTGATAAAAGTGTTTCCACGAGAAATAAAATAGTTTGTCTGTTAGATCGATAACTGCGTAACAACACTGCGTAACTTCTAAGTTTCATTTACAAAGTAAACAAATCTTTTTGCTCAGAATAAAGTATTTCCGCAGACAATCATCGCCTTTCTCATACCTAACTATGTCTTTACGAGAAATGAAATAGTTTGTCTGTTAGATCGATAACTGCGTACCCCTAAAAGTGTTTCCAAAATAATCCAAGTATCAGAGCTTTCGACTAAAATAGCAACGAATCAAACTGAGAAACTCTCGCTATTTTAAGAAATAATTGTTCTCAGCGTTCCAAAAGCGTCCTAGAAGACCTGCTTAGTAGTTAAGACACAAATATGCAAGATCAAAACTTTGAAAAGTATTGTGGTAAACTTACGAATTTTAACACCATTTAACTAATAAGAACTTAAACGAAATGTAAAACATAAGTCCGATGTATGCCTTATTATGTTCTACCGACGCAATCACATGTTATTATTCATAGTTCATGAATTTGACATACTCAATGGTATTACTTGTCGAATAAATGTAATATTTGTGATCGGAATGAAAACTGAGTTGAATGATGTGTTATTCAGGTGTACAGCATGAGTTTTATACGAGTCTAGCGTCATCACCTTTCATTTATTGTTAAAACTGAACTATGAAGTGATATAATCAAGTTCCAACATTTTTACAAGTTACCTTTTAATTGATAAAAGTTTTCGTGGTCTAGAATCTAGTCCATCTTATGAAAATCTTAAACTAAAATTAATTTTTTCTTTTTTTTATATAAGCTTTATTGAAAAAGAAAAAAAGAAAAAGTTAGAAAAGATCAGTACAATAATGAGGAGAAGGAGGCGAACCCATTGCATCTTTACATCATTGACTGCGGACAAAGGACAGAACAAGAAATACATATAAAAAAAAGTGACAAGGAGATCATAAAAAAGACAAGTACAGACAAAATAAAGACAAAAAATTAACCTATAGGTAATTTTCAAACATTTCTCGTTATCTCAGAATTGTTCGTTATTGTATGACATTGATGATAAAATAGAAAGGAGTTTGTTTAAGTTATTCTTTTGAAAAGAAGAGAAAAACAATTTTTCTTTCTTCGATTTCAAAAATATAAAAATGGCGTCATATTCATCTACGATTTTTTCCTTAGTTCCTTTTATAATTCCGTCAATTTAGCGTTTATCACTAAGTTAGCCACCGTAATTTTATTCAAACTAGACATGCACGCACACACATGTAGTAGAAAAAAAGCATAATCAAGCTTTTAACTTTTTAGAATACATGCGTGTATGAAATTATGTACACATTTCACTAACCTTTATTAAAAGAATTCGCACTGTGAGTGCTTTTCGACAATAAGCAAAAACATTTGTATGAAATAATAGTTTATTTCAAACAGATCATAGGAGAATAAAAGTCATTTCTCTTTTATTTGGAAAGTTAAATGAATATAGTCAATCTAGAATTATATTTCATAATAAATATTTGAAAACTAGTTCAAGTGGGGTATACAGTGTACATGACATGTTAATCCGTTTTTGGTACGTAAAACAGCAGTAGTATTTTAGAGCAGATTTGTTAGGTAGTACTTATGAATTAAATAAATCATCTTTATTAAGATTTACCTCTCGTCTAAAATTGATCTTATTATTAAACTAACACGATTGATTGTTAGGCTGAGAAGAATTTTTGAAGTTTGAATACAAGATATTTGCGTATATTATGAGATAAAAATGTAATTTTAATTGGAAACATCAAACACTCATTGCTTATTGTAATAAAGCTGTCGGATGATGAAACTTGGTTAACAGACATGTTGCATAAGAAAACTAAAACAATAACGCTAGGAACAGATTTCATCAAATAGAAAGTTTCACACAAGATTTATAAAAAAATATATTTTCAGCGATTTTTGAATAATTCATATAAAAAACTGACTTTTATTTTCGTCCTACGACTTTTTCAATGGTGAAAATACAGCTCCAGTTGATTGAATGTAAGTTACTCGACTCATCAGTTATTTGACAAAACAGATATATTTTATCAATAACTGAACGTAGCGTGAAATCTGTATGAAATAATAAAACCGGTGGTACTTCATCAAAAATCATGCTTGAAATCTATCTTTATTTTGAAAAAGTTTTTTAAAATGATCTTTGAGATGTATTCTATTTCTATTATTCTACTGGAAAATTTTAAGTACTTTCGCTTTTTTATTAAAATTCACTTTGTTCTTTGGTAGTGTGAACCCCGAAAAGGTAGAACACATCCAGAAGATGATGTTGATAATAATAGCACTATACTCATTTCATAAAATGCGCGGAGTTGTTAAATGTTAAAAAACAACACTCTAGTATGTATGTAAAAACTAGGATGTTGAAAGATGACAAGATTCATTAAAACTCGATTCCTGATAGTTGTATTTTTAAATTATTTTAAACATTTCTGTAGTTTTAGTTATCTTTATCATTAACAATGCAACCATTTCGAACACGCGCTGCTACTGTTCGAAGAAATGTGAAACATAATCAAGAAATTCATCTTATTACAAATCCACAAGATCGAATCGAACATTTAAGTCATTATCCACAATCACATTTGCATCATGGCATGAGTCAATACTTATTACATTCTAATTCAAAGTGGAAAATCGTTCGTGAAAATATACATAGAATTCACTGGTTGCCAGTAATAAAAACCGCTGATCCATATCAAGAGTGCTATATATTTTTTCAAATGAGACGCGAATTAAAACGACTTGAACCACAAATAAAAAATGTTGCCTGTTTACCCTATTTCAAACCGGTACGCCATTTTCGATTAGCGATAGATGAAACACATCAACAAGTACACGATACTTCGCAAGTAAAACCAAACGAAGTCCTCCACTATTCAATTATTGGTAAAGAACCTATCGTATTACAATATATGCTCTATTATTTTAGTCAACGTCCAGTTCCCTATAATAGCGTATTCCACCCTTTTTTATGTAACGTCACATCTGTTATTAAAACAAATCGTAGACGTTTGAAGCATAAACAAATATTAAACAATTTTGTGCTATTAGGCTCAATAATAGTCTATATTTCAATTGGTTTCATGTTTTTGGTGCTACTTATTAATGTGTTAAGTACAATATCAAAACTTAGTACGTTAAGTAATTTATATGGTGAAAATTTTTATTCTGACTTTTAACTCAATAAAACATTACTTAGTTATTACTCTTTCATGATAATAGAGAAATATATTACTTATTAATATTCATTGTTATTTTGTGAATTTATTATTATTTATGTGCCATATTGGTCTGATAATAGAGGCTACAATCGCACCCTCAATACTGTCACAATGATAGAGTATGAGTATGCCACCAATTTTTCCTTCATATTAAGATTCTCTTTACAGTTCTTTCTTGGTTCTTATTATTATTTTAGTTTTTTGACAAAAATTTAGGGCAAGAACATTTAGGACAAGAGCAAATTAACTTGTTTTTTTCAGGCTTTTTTCGTCTAAAAACTTTTTTTTCCAAATTCGAATTGTTTTAATTTATAATAGCAAAACGTAATAAAGTAGTATTGAGTGAAAATAGTCTCTAGTCAAAAATAGCTTTGACTGATGTAGTGCATCCTGACAGTTTAGTCATTATTTCGTTAAATTCGGCTTGAATTTTAATATCGTCCAAGTTATTTTGATCATACAAGGGTGCTGAAAACTGTTCGGAATAGTGTTTAAAAAGTTCGTCAGTAATTTCTTTTTTATTCGATATAGTTATTTCATCTATCGTTAATTTCGAAAAAGGGAGACTTTTAGGTCTATAGACTCGAGATAAGTATGATCAGAAGGCGGAGCCGTTTCTGTCATGCGTATTTTCGAGGTGTCATGGACAATTGTACTAATGTTGAGAGTCTAAAACGAAGAATAAATTTTGAAGTATGTATATCTATCTCCATTTGAAGCAGGAACTCAGGAACTCAGAAATTCATGTGCTCATATACGTGT